TATACATGTATATGTATGAGTATATTTATGTATGTATATATGTGGTGTGTATGCTTGTATTCGTAATAAATAGTTTTCTATCTTATATATGTATATGTGGCTATACACATACATATATATATATATATACATATATCTATGCAGTAATGCTATATACATATAAATATATATATTCATATATATATATTTTGTAATAAAATGTATATATATAATGTGTGTGTATATAATACATGTTATATATACGTACTGTATGTATACTTGCATGCAATCTGCATAAAGTGGTAGATTTGTACATATTTATATATATGTATTTATATACAATATGAGGGTAAATTTATATTATATATAGTCTGAGGATATATTTATATTATATATGAGGATATATTTATATCATATAAAGCTGTGTGGAATCTGCATATAAATATATAAATATATAAATATTTTTTGTCTAATAAATCATAATTTTATTATAAGCAATTTAGATACTATGAATGTGGCTGTAATACATATTTATATATATTTATTCTATTATTTTAATTATAAATGTATTTGTGTACTTTATTTAATGTGAATAAGATGTGCATTAGAATTAATTGTTCATTGTTTGCTATTTGTTTACTATGAATAAAATGTTTATAATGCATATATTGTATACAGCAAATCATATAAATGAAAAAAACTAATCTGTATATTACTTATAGTTTGTTATTTTAATTAAAATGAATGCAATGAGTATTAGATTATATATAGTTTATATATTGTAAAAAAAATGCTTACTTTAAATATGTCTAATATATTTAATACAGTATAATTTATATATCATATGGTAACATGATTTATATTATATATATTGCATATAATGTATGTATCATAAATGAAATGTTAATAGTACATAAATTGTGTACGAAATGTCTTATTTAATGTAAATAATATATTAAAGATACATATTAATTTTATTTGCATTTATTCAATGTAAACACTACATCAAATGTGTATATTGAATATAATAGATTTTATCTAGTATAAATTATAACTATGTGTAATACAATTTGAATATATTTTGCTCAATCTAATTTATATAAAATAGGTAAAATTGAGTTATTATATAAATACACTTATATATTCATTTTCTAATCCAATTTCTAAATATGAATAATACACATTTCTTGTGTTTTATATATCACGAAGGTATTTTCTATTTTTAGCTCTCCATGCTTTCCGTCTTTGCGGTATATTTACTAAGTTCAAATTATGTTCTATATGCATATGTTTGCTAATATATATATTATATATATATATGTATATATGTATAATATACAGACACACACACATATATATATATATATATACCTACACAGTATATGTATATATATGTATATATGTGTGTGTGTGTATGTGTATATATATATATATATATGTATATATACATATATATATATACAGATATACATAAATATATGCACACAATGCTTGTGTTTATATATGTTTAAATGTACTTATATATATTTATTAAGTTTAAATCTTGTTATATATGCATATATATAAAAGATTTTTAGACAAGATAAGATATATGCATATATATGTATATATGTATATATTATATATATAGACATATATATATATATACACATGTATATATATGCATACATATATATATACATATATATATATATATATGCATATGCATATAAATGTACCTTAAATATGTCTGTCAATAATAATATGCATATATGTGTAAATTTGGATATATAATTATGAATCTATAGTGTGAAAAAAATGTTGTAGATATATACGCATATACATATATACATGTACACATATTTACATATATATATATATATATTTTATATATATACATACTTATAAACATATAAGTTGAATATGCATATATTTATGTATGTATTTATATATATATTCATAGAATATATATATATATATACATGCATTCTATATTTCTACGACTTGAGTATATATGTTCAGTTAAGGGCAATCCGTTTAAATACTTTTAGGGGTATTTACATCCCCGCGGTGTTTACGAATTTTCCTGAATATATATATTTACATATATATATATATATACATATAGTTATATATATATAATAGGTATATATATATATATACATATAGTTGTACATATATATATATTCATATTTATATATATATATATAGCGCGTGTGTGTGTGTGTATATATATATAATATATATACATCTGTATATATATACATATATAGTGTATATATATATATGTATATCATACATATGTATATAAGTATATATATATATATCTATCTGCATATAGATATATATATGTAGAAGTGTATAGATATACGTATTAAGCAGCTCTGTTTTTGTATTTGTCTTTGTAGGTGTATTTATATTTACACTTATATATATATATATTTATATCCATACTGTACACTTCCAGTATGTATATATATATATATATATACAGATATATAGGTGTGTATATTATGTATGAGTGATCGTATTATATATATTATATAATATATATGTATCTATATATATATATATACATATATACATATATAGAATAAATACATATATTATCTACATTGGATTATATATATGTGTATAGTTATTAATAATAAATTGAGATACTTTTTAAATATGACAAACAAATGTAACAAAAGCATTCAAGAAGGAAATATTGCAAACAAATATAATGAATATTATGAACAAAAATAACAAATAATGAAATAGAATATAATTTGGAAAATATAATGAAAGAAATGTAGTAAAAATATTATAATTAGGGAAATGTATTTAAATAATATAATGAACAAAATATAATTAAATTTCAAATAATTAAATTTTCGACTTCTTGCTAATTCGCATTTTCAGTCTCAGACAGCAGTTCCTTAAATTCTTTTTTCTTTTCTCCTTTTGATTCTTTTAAAATTCTTTTGGTAATTCTTTTTAATTCTTCGTAAATTCCTTTTATAATTCTTTATAATTCTCTTTAAAATCTTAAAAAAATCTTTTCACTCTTTTTAATTCCTTTTATTCCTTTTAAATTTTTTTTATTTTTTTTAGTTTCATTTTTATTTCTTTTCACCTTCTTTTTGTTGCCAACTTGACTCAAAAGAGTTTTTCAAGAATAAATAAAAGTTGCTGCAGCAGCAAAAGAAAGCAGTTGTATAACAAGCGCAGCAGCAGCAGCAAAAAGAAGCTATTGTAGAATAAATAGAAGTTGCTACAGCAGCAAAAGGAAACACTTTTAGGATAAACGAAAGTTGCTGCAGCAGCAAAAGGAAGCAATTGTATAATAAAAGCTGCTGCAGCAGCAGAAGAAAACACCCGCAGAATAAAAATTGCTGCAGCAGCTGCAGCAGCAAAAGAAAAACCTTCCAGAATGTAGTTGCTGCAGCAGCAGAAGGAAGCACTTTTAGATTAAGAGTTGCTGCAGCAGAAGAAAGAAACCTTTTTAGAATAAAAGGTGCTGCAGCAGCAAAAAGAAAAACTTATACATTATAAGTTGCTGCAGCATCAAAAGGAAGCACTTATGGATTAAGGGGTGCTGCAGCAGCAAAAGGAAGCACTTATAGAATAAATAAACGTTGCTGCAGCAGTAAAAGGAAGCACTTGCAGCAACTTATTGTAGAATAAACAAAAGTTGCTGCAGCAGCAAAATAAAATACTAATACATTAGAACCTGCAGCAGCAGCAGCAGCTGCTGCTGCAGCAACAAAAGGAAGCACTTGTGTCGCAAAAGACAGCAGAGCATTTCGAAAAAAGAAAATTCAAAAGTATTTCTGAAAAGATAAATGCCAAATTGCTGCTAAACAAAGGCTGGAAAATCCTAAAAGTTCCTTTTGCTTCGCTTCTGCGGCTCCTAGTGCAAAGCGACACAGATACAAACAGCAGCGGCTGCTGCTGCTGCAGCTGCTGCGGCTGTTGCTGCTGCTACAGCTGCTGCAGCTGCTGCAGCTGTTGCTGCTGCTGTAGCTGTTGCTGCTGCTGCAGCTGCTGCTGCAGCTGCTGTAGCTCTTGGTGCTGCAGCTGCTGTAGCTGTTGCTGCTGCTGCAGCTGGTGCAGCTGTTGTTGCTGCTGCAGCTGTTGCCGCTGCTGCAGCTGCTGCTGCTGCTTCTTGAGGATGCAGAAGAGACCGCAGCTCCTGCTGCTGAGACTGCAGCAGAGCTTGCAGCAACTGCTGCGGAGAATGCAGCAGAGACTGCAGCTCCTGCTGCTGAGACTGCAGCCGCTGCTGCTGAGACTTTAGCTGCAGCAACAGCACGCTGAGCATTAGCAGCAAATGCTGCATCGGCAACGCATTCTGCGCCAGCACGTGCATCTGCTGCAGCAGCGGCACCCGCAGCAGCAGCACTTGCTTCAGCAGCAACACGCAGCCTGTGCTGCAGCAGCAGCCTGTGCTGCAGCAGCTACGCCTGCAGCAGCAGCATGCGCTCGCTGAAGGGGGACAGCAAGTAAGTGTCTGTACACCTCACTGCAACCACTTCACCCTCTGCTGCCAGCTGCAGCAGCGCTGCTCCGCTGCTGCTGTCAACAGCAGCAACAAAGCCGCGCCGCCCGCGCATGGGGCCCACTCCCAGCACCACAGCCTGCAGCAGCAGCAGCAGCAGCAGCGGCAGCAGCAGGTGGCAGCAGGAGGAGTGACAGTAGCAGCAGCAGCGGCAGCAGCACTAGCAGCAGAAGTTGATGTGGCAGCAGCAGCAGCAGCAGGTAGCAACAGAGGTGGAAGTGGCAGCAACAGCAGCAGCAGCAGCGGTACGTGTCTGAGATTTGCTGCTTTCTTTTTGCTTCAAGCGTACTTCATGTCCTAGCATGAGGGACTCGGCCTTCTCTCTGTTGCTGCTCTGCTGCTGCAGCAGCAGCAGCAGCAAATGCTGCAGGCTGAGAGGCAGCAGCCCGCTGTAGCCCCCAAGTGCCAGGGCCCGCGGCAGCAAAGGCGACAGCAGCACAGCAGAGAACAAAGCAGCTTTGTTTGCGCCTGCTGTTTGTTGCTGCTGCTGCTGCTGCTCCTGCTCCTGCTCCTGCTTGTCGGCCACTTGCTGCTGCTGCTGCTGCTGCTGCTGCTGCTGCTGCTGCTGCTGCTGCTGCTGCAGGGGGTAGAGCTCCAGCAAGAAGTGGTCGAAGCCGTTGCTGTCGGAAGGCTGCTGCTGCACCCCAGCGATAAAACTCTGAAGCAGAAAAGCCACAAAACAAGTGAAAAGCCCGCTGCTGCTGCTGCTTCTGCTGCTGCTTCTGCTGCTGCTGCTGCTGCTGCTTCTTGGGAAGCTACTGTGTCTGCTTGCAGGCATGCATGCAGAGTTGGGGTGTACGTACAGCAGCAGCAGCGCAGCAAAGTGTGGGACAGCAAATCTGCATCCTTAAAGCCCCACAACTGTAAATACTCAAAACTTATAATACTAATTATATTTATTTCTTCAATATGAATAATAAATAAACAAACAAATAAATAAATTAATTAATTAATTAAACAAATAAATAAAAAAATAAATAGCTGTATACATATATATGGGCAGACATAGTTAAAGGCGCCCCTGCATGCTCAAGGCACGCACATATTTGCTGCAGGCCTTAACAGTCTCATTTTTAAATTATTTAATTTAAATTAATTTTAAATAAATGCATGCAATTAATGCTGGCTTGCTGCCCTTATTTGCTGCGCTAACGGCGCTCACCACCTTGAAGATATCTGCAGCAGCTGCTGCAGCAGGCGCTGCAGCAGGCACTGCAGCAGGCGCTGCAGCAGCTGCTGCAGCAGCTCCTGCAGCAGGAGCAGCAGCAGCGGCAGAAGCAGCTGCAGCAGCTGGGGCGTCCCACTGCTGGCCATCGGCCTGGCTCTGCTCGCAGGGCCTTTCCTCTGCAGCATCACTGCAGCAGCAGCAGCACCAGCGGGGAACTCCCTGGTTGTTGCTACTGCTGCTGCTGCTGCGGCGCCCACTGCTGTTGCTGCAGCTTCCGCTGCTGCTGCAGTGAGCCACGAGCACTCCTGGAATGGCCCAAGGCGGCAGCGGAGCAGACACAGGTTTTAAAAGCGTGCTGCAGCAGCAAAACAGCAGCAGCAAAGCAGCAGCAGCAAAAGAGCAGCAGCAGCACAAGCAGCAGCGCATGCAAGAGCCGTTGGGGTGTACAGACAGCTTTGAGTGGCTGCGCCCCCGCGCAGGCAACTGAAGACCCCAAATGGAAAATAAAACAAAGAAGAAAAGAGCAGCAAAATAAAAGTACATTTAAAAACAAATAGCATGCAAAACCGCATCTAAAAAGAGCTATTCAGGTGTACATACACCCCATTTTGCAGAAAGAAAAAACCGGAAGAGCCGCAGCGCGGCCTCGTGTGGGGTGTACGTACACCTCAGCCTCAGCAGCAAACCCCACAACTCCCCAAAAGCCCAACTTTGGGGCTGCATGCAAGCAGCAAAACACCCACCTGCAGCAGCAGCAGCAAGGGGCCCTTTTGGGGGCCCTTTTGTCTCTCTGGAAGCAGCCTAGCGCTCCGAAAGCAAGGGCATGCCTCTGCTGCTGCTGCTGCTGCTGCTG